AAAAGCATAATTTTTAGCGTCACAGATTGTTCTTTTAGACTCATTGTGAGCCGTTTGATAGTTTTTCAATTTCTCTAAGGTGTTACATTTAAACCAATTTTTATAACATAACTTCTTATATTTTATTTTATTTTGTTTTATTTTATTTTATTTTTTATTTTATGTGTGAAAACAAAAAATCTTACTCGGAGATCATTTTCCTATAGATCTTCGTCGATGTTGAGGGCTCTTTTGTTGTTTATATTAGGATATTAGAATATTAATATGTAGATTTTTGTTTATTTAATTTAATTTGTTTTTATTTTGCTTTCCTTTTTTCCCTTTATCCTGATTTTATTTCTTTCCTTACTACTAGATTCAGTAATGTGTATTTATACCCCTCTTTGCATTAATAAAATTTACCTTAGATTCTATTCTAACATGGTATCAGAGCCATGACCCTAGCCTAGCTATAGGGCTCTCCTTACAACTGGTTAGGTATGCTTTTAGCTACCTCTGTCTCCCTGCTTAGGTTCTTGTCGGTTCCCCTAATCTTGCATCCTGGATCCCGTCTCCAGGATCTCGACTCCAAGTAGCTAGGTTCCCACCTCTAGTGAAGGTCCCCAGGCTGCCAAGTTCCCGTCTCCAAAAATTGTTCTTTCGGTAAAGGGTTCCATAACTTGTTCTTTCGGTGACTCCAAGTAAAATCTTTTCCAGCAGTATCACAAAGTTCAATTTCAATTAAGTGTCCAATAACTTAAGTTCTTTCGGTGCCCCTAGTGGAATCTTACCAGCAATTGAAACCTTGTGATTTCTCAACAACCTAACATCTTGTTTGGCTCAATTGGAACCATGACGAATTACTCCAGCACTGAGCCGTCATCCAAAGGCATGGGAAATTCACCAATTGACGGTAATTTTATTCGGAGAATCAATTCCAACCTCCATTTCTCCACAGACCGGAGGACAGGAAAACAACATGAACTTCTTGATCACAACTCATGAACTAAACGAAAATAACTTTCTCCAATAGTCCCAATCCGTATCTTTATTCATCAAAGGGCGTGGGAAATTTACAAATGTGGTGGTGGACCATGGATTCACTCAGGCTCAATCGGACCACACTTTTTGCTTCCAACATTTCTCCAATAACCTGGTAGTTATCCTCATCGTCTATGTGGACCATGGATCGTATTAAAGAGTTTTGTAAGCAAATAAACTCCCAATTCTCCTAAATATTTCCACACTTCAATTGGGATATCATCAGGTCCTACAAAATTTTCACCCTTGGTTTTCTTTAAAGCCTCTTCAACTTCATTTTTACTAATGCGACGGTAAAAATACAACGTTTTATTATTATTAACGATATTAAGATCACTATGGTCGATCGTATTTTCAAAAATTTCATTAAAAAGTTTATCAAAATTACTCACCCACCTATGTTGAATAACTTTTTATAAGAAAAATACCTTTTGATTTTTATCTTTAATACACTTTATTTGAGTTAAATCTTTACTTTTCTTTTCTCTTTGTTTGGCTAGTTTATACATATATTTTTCACTCTCCTTAGTATCTAATCTATTATGAATATCACTAAAAACATAATTTTTAGCGTCACAGATTGTTCTTTTAGACTCACTGTGAGTCGTTTGATACTTTTTCAATTTCTCTAAGTTGTTACATTTAAACCAATTTCAATAACATAATTTCTTATATTTTATTTTATTTTATTTTATTTTTTATTTTATGTGTGAAATGAAGTTTAGGTGCAAGATATAGATTTGGAGGTCCTTTTCCTATAGATCTTCGTCGATGTCGAGGGCTCTTTTGTTGTTTATATTAGAATATTAGAATATTAATATGCAAATTTTTGTTTTATTTAATTTAATTTGTTTTTATTTTGCTTTTCTTTTTTCCCTTTATTCTGATTTTATTTCTTTCCTTACTAGTAGATCCTGTAATGGGTATTTATACCCCACTTTGTATTAATAAAATTTATCTTGGATTCTATTCTAACATGGTATCAGAGCCATGACCCTAGCCTAGCTATCGGGCTCTCCTTCCAACTGATTAGGTATGCTTTTAGCTACCTATGTCTCCCTGCTTAGGTTCCTATCGGTTCCCCTAATCCTGCATCTTGGATCCCGTCTCCAGGATCCCGACTCCAGGTAGCTAGGTTCCCACCTCTAGTGAAGGTCCCCAGGCTGCCAAGTTCTCGTATCCAAAAATTGTTCTTTTGGTAAAAAGTCCCATAACTTATTCTTTTGGTGACTCCAAGTAAAATCTTTGTCAGCAGTATCACAAAGTTCAATTTCAGTTAAGTGTCCAATAACTTAAGTTCTTTCGGTGCCCCTAGTGGAATCTTACCAGCAATTGGAACCTTGCGATGTCTCAACAACCTAAAATCTTGTTTGGCTCAATTGGAACCATGACAAATTACTCCAGCACTGAGCCGTCATCAGAAGGGCATGGGAAATTCACAAAATGACGGTAATTTTCTTCGGAGAATCAATTCCAACCTCCATTCCTCTACAGACTGGAGGATAGGAAAACAACATGAACTTCTTGATCACAACTCATGAACTAAACGAAAATAACTTTCTCTAGTCTCAATCTGTATCTTTATTCATCAAAGGACGTGAGAAATTTACAAATGTGGTGGTGGACCATGGATTCACTCAGGCTCAATCGGACCACACTTTCTTCTTCCAACATTCCTCCAATAACCAGGTAACTATCCTTATCATCTATGTTAACGATATTGTTCTCACAAGTAATGATATACAAGCATTGTAATCTTCGAAAGACATGATTGTTGCTTCTTTTGAAATGAAAGACTTGAGATTTCTCCGGTACTTCTTAGGAGCGGACATTGCTCGATCATCTCAGGGTATTTGCTTGTCTCAGTGGAAATATGTCATTGACCTGTTGACAAAGAACGAGCTTCTCGTGTACAAACCAATGGTTGTCCCGATGGATCCCAATGAAAAACTTCTTGATGTTTCAAATATAGTTCCTATATACACGATTAACTACTAACATTTTGTGGGAAAACTCATTTGCCGACATATGTCACACAGTTGGGATAGTCAGTCATTATATTCATCATCCCTATAAGCACGACCTCCAAGCTGTCTACCAAATTCTCCACTATTTAAAAAACACACCGAATTCAGGTTTATTTTTTTTTCTTGTCACACCTCTCGTTCTATTGCAATTTACACAGATGCAGATGGGCTGGTCGTCCATGATCAGTGATCTACCTTGTGGTACTGCTTATTTGTGTGGGGAAACTCAGTCACATGGAAAAACAAGTAGCAATTTGTGATTGCTTGGGGCAGTGCAGAAGTCGAATTTGGTCCATGTCTCTGGGAATTTGTGAAGTTCTAGGGTTATACATTATGCTCTACGAACTAGGTATGAGAGTCTCCGCTCCCCTACAGTTGTTCTGTGATGGCGGGGCTTCCATTAGCGTTGCTCACAACCTGGTCCAGTATGATCGCATATTGAGATTGACCATTACTTCATTAAGAAAATACTCGAGTCCGGAGAAATTTGTGTTCCGCTTATGTCATCTAGTGATTAGCTGGTAGATATTCTCACAAAGATTTTTTCTCGGCGACTGCTCAATGATCTTGAATCCAAGTTGAACATGACTGATATATATGCTTCAATTTGAAAGGGTTGAAGGGGAGTACTAGAATATTTGAATATTAATATAAAGATTTTTGTTTTAATTACTTTTATTTTCTTTTATTTTCTTTCCATTTTTCCCTTTATTCTGATTTTATTTCTTTTCTTACTAGTAGATCCTATAATGGGTATTTATATCTCTCTTTGCATCAATAAAACTTATATTGGGTTCTATTCTAACAGTTTGAAATCTTTACATTAATGTTGGTCTGCTGTGATAGATTTTCAAATCAAACATGCAAAATAGTAGGATTAACATCATATCTCAATAGAGTAGTTGTTGTTGTCCATTATAATTTAAAGAGAAATTTCTAATATTTATACTTTTAACAAAACACTTAAATAAACTTTTAGAGCAATGGCCCATGTCCTATCCCTGTCTCACTCTGTCACACATGCTGGAAATAAATTTTATTTCTTCTAATGTCAAACATCATTTTCATGTCTGACACATGTTGGCTCTCCTCCAAATATTGCCTGTAGATCTTGGCATACACTATTTTTAAGTGTTTTGAGCATCTCAGCCTCATTCTACAAGCAATATTTAAATAGGGATTTAATGCCTAGATTAAGAACAAATTAATGGGTAAGGTTTTTATTATGTTCTTTTGGCATAAAGGTTCAAATATTTGTCATGATTGAACTCTTAATGACACACTTGAACCCAATGCAGAGCGTTTCAGTTTTTGGCGTTCCAAACAAATTTAAATGTTATTATACAATACGCTGCTATTAAGGAGAAAATACAAAATTTGGTTTGGAGAAAATTGTCAGCTGTCAAAAACAGTTGTGATTTCATGGAAAAACTTAAACTGAAGCTGGTAAATAAGATCTGTACTAGTGGTACTGAAGAAATCAATTACATGCGCCCAGGCTCAATGGATTCAGAGATGACAAGATTGTCTCAGCTCATAGTAACTACTTGCACCAGTTTATGAATAAGAAGCAACGCATCTTTTTAAAGTACTAAAAAATCTGTTCAATTACTACTATGCATCAATTTCTCTCAGGAGATTTAAAGTTGGCTTAGTAGAACTTCTAAAAAAAAAAAAATCAGCTGAAATGATAAAAATGAAATATTTGTTTCAGCTTTAACTGCAACATTTAATATTATGTAAGATGGTGAGACTTCTACTTTCTTTTGGATGACTTGATGAACCAATATAAGACATAACATAAAAAAGTGGATTTGACATAACAAGTGTACCGCAACATGTATTTATGTAGGCTCATAAACTGCACAGACATCTTTACTTTTTTAATTTTTATTTTTTTGTCTTTTACCAATACAGTGAAGTTATTTATGTTACTAGTCTGATTACCTGAACTAGAGGGAAGTGGTTTGAAAATTCAATAATCGAACAATAGAAGTCAGTAAGTTTGGCTGGAAGCATTATAGCCATCAACCTGGAAAAGATTTGAGGAGTGATGTTCTAAAAGAAGTATTAAGGAATCTTGATCTTGTGTTATTCTTTGACTGGAGAAATGATTGAGCAGGAGATTGTTTGCTTGCCTTGGTTGGCCCAAACGGTAAGGGTGTTTATGCAACAAATATATATAAATTTCATAGTAGGATGTCGAACAAAACTGTTTGAAGCCATCAGTTTGGTGCTTTATAGAGCTAGTTTCTTATCTCTTGAACATGCATTTTTACATATTTTAACTGTGATGCAAATTGTTTGCAAGTCATGCATTTTAATGACTACGTAGTAGTATTTATACGAAGGGTGTGGTTTTTTATTTTTAAGTTGGAATATGGCGATTATGCAAGATTGAACAACCAGGTGGAAGAAGCAAACCGCCAGCTGAGGTAGTCTTTCTGTTTATTTTAATTTTAAAGGCGTAATTTCTGGTTTAAAAATTCATAAATTAAAAAAAATGGAGTACGAAAAAAAAAAAAAAATTAGTCAAAGTATCTGCTGTAGACATATGAGAGGAGATGACCTCCAAGGGTTGACAATGGAAGAGCTGCAACAACTGGAGAAAACTCTCGAAACTGGATTACGCCGTGTTCTTCACAGAAAGGTCAATTTTCAGAAATTTTCACAAATTATTTCTCCCATAAGCCTCGAAATTATTTCCTGCAATATTGATTATATTATCTTACATTTAATATATCTGATATGCCCGGATTTCTGCAGGGTGAACAAATAATGGAGCAAATTAATGATCTCAGAAAGAAGGTGAGAAGCTTTCTTCTTTTATTTCTCTCAATTTCACTCATAATTTTTATGCGGAGATGAACACAAAATGTGCCAAGGAAACTTTGCGCATGAGTTTTGAACTAGTAAATTTAACTTTTATCTGTTGAATATCCATCAACTGATTCTCTTTCTGTTTGGAAGTAATGTAATTAGAGTGAATTCTACAAAAGAAGGGATTTCATTGTCCATTAATTACCTTAAATGATGTAGAAGTGGCTAGTTTTATAAAAAATATATTTTTTTATCTGGTGGCTTATTGGTCATTTGACTTACATAAAGTGGTGAAATTGGCCGCCAATTAATGTTTCAACTGGTGATATTCAAGTCGAGGTACTTGCTTGATGTCTTTTTTGTTAAATCAGTTGAGTAATTATTATGATAAAATTTGTAATTATGTCTATACGATTAAGTAAATGCTAGTGCTTGCGCTGCGTACTCAGATCAGTTGGTCGGGCATCTGCTTGTCAGTTGTAAATCCCCTCTGGTCTGGGGTTCGAATCCCCCCAAGTGTAGAGTGTGGTACTCAAATTCTTAAGCGCACTAGGGATGGCCAGGGCTCGTATAATAGCCTCCGACCATTCATTTTTTTAAAAAAAAAATAAATAAATGCTAGTGCTTCTTATGATGATGATGCTGAGCAAAGTGTTAATACTAAGCAATTTATGTCTAGATCCTCAATTTATTTTTTTTCTTATTTTGGAAATTTTGGTTGATGCAATCAGGCCATCATAGGACCTCACAACAAGGTCCAAAGTCATTACCAGCTAAGTTGGCATTATGACACTGGTCTTTAAGAGCGCTTCACATAAAACTAGGTATTAGGAAAAAAAATCTCTTTTGGATCCTTGATTTTTTAGGTACACTTCATTCATATGCATCCTTTCATCATACAAAATATTAGCATGCAATAAAATAAAAAAATACCCTTATATTTCCATCTCTTCTATTTTTTTCACGAGTTGTACTCTCCGCAAGCTCATAAAGATTCGATCAACTTCTTGGCAATAGGAGTTCATGGCTATAAGTTGAGGTGTCAATTCAGGTTGATGAGTAAGATATGGGTCTGATTCCACACAAATATGTTGACCCATTCATTATATTGGTCAAAATATTTGATCCAAACCTAACTTAACTCGACCATGCCTACTTTGTACTTGACTCATCTATCACATTTACTTTATGGATCATGTAATCTTATTTATTCAACATGACCCGATAAAGACGAATGACCTATTTAACCCATCTTGAATCAGCCTGAACTGAACCTTACCCAAATAATAATGGAGTCAATAATTTTCTTTATCTGAATATATTTCTCTTCCACATTGAATTTACGTACAGGGACTGCAACTGATGGAAGAAAATATATTTTTGCGACAGCAGGTGTTTCATTATTTCACTCTAAAACTCAACATTTTTGAGTTATATATGTACATTTTTACCTGTTTATTGGCTTGCAGGTTATGGAAATGACAAAAACCGGAAAACAAATGGTCGCTGAGTCGGAAACCGTCGTACTTGAAGATGGACAGTCTTCTGACTCGATCACTAATATATCTGAGTCAGGGAACTCACGTGAAAATGATGATTGTTCAGATACATCTCTCAGACTAGGGTGAGTTTTACTCAACGAGTTTAAGTTGCTGCACAATGCTTTCCATTGTTAAGATGACATGACATGAATGTAAAAATTGAATTTTAGGTGCTAGACATGTGAAGGCATAAGAATTAACTTGTATGTATGAAAATCTACCTAAATAATATCATATTTGGAAAGTTTAGATTAAATAATAACCCAACAATATTAGTGCTTTTAAGCATACCACACTGATTTATTAACTTATTCAAAGTTCAAATAAGGTATTTTAAGTACAATCAAACAGTATTTTGGGTTGATCAAGTTAGGGCCCTTTTGAGGCAGCTTATAAGTGCGGACGGTGCCTCGCCATTTAGAAAGCACATTTCGACAACTTATCCGAAAACACGGTTGAGTTTTTACATTTAATGCAGGCCAATGGTCGAACCCCGTGGGTCGCGTTTCAGAATAAGCTACTTATCTAGATAAGCACAAGCTGTCCCAAATAATACCTTAAGCTTCTATGTTTAATTATTGATTGAGTCAATTGGGTCTTATGGATTAACTGATCTTGTAAGCTCAAATTGTGGTTCTGCATGTGTAAGAACATAGAGATTACGACATTGTTTTAGTAACATACTGATCACACAAAAAGGTTCTCCAACTTTTGCGTATATTATTTAAAACCATATATTTAGAATGATTCATCAAAAAAAATTCTCTACTTTTGATCATCAAATATTCGATATGCATTATGCAGTTGATGTTGTGCTCAAAGTAGGGGTGTAAACGAGCCGAACACGAGCTGAGCTCAGGCTCGTGTTCGGCTCATTTATATTTTGAGCTCAAAAAGTGTGTTCATATACGACTAATTTACTTAACGAGCCAAACACAAGTTATTCATGAACAAAGAGTCGTTTTGACAACCTAATCATGTAGCCATAAGATGTTAAGGGTTGGGCAAGATTTACAAATTATTATTTATATTAAAACATTATTTGAATCTAATTTAATAATTTTTATTCCATTTTTTAAATTAATCCTTTTAATTGATTATAAATTATTGTAGCATTGTAATCAATTAAATTATTTAAAAATACTAATCATCAATATGAGTCAAAAGGAGCCAGATGTGAATGAACAAATATTTATTTGTGTTTAACTCGTTTATATATCGAGCTTAAAAAAAATTATTCGTGTTAAGCCAAGCCTGTGCTTTTTAACAAGACGATGGAGGACCATTTACTCATAAGCGTGCGAACGGTTTCGACAATCCTATGCCTCTTAAACATTAAATATTTATGAATTTCAGTGTAAAATTCCAAAATAACAATTTTCCCACACAACTTTCCAGACACATTTATAAAAAATTAGAATCATCCTAAGCAGCCTAATATCTTTGATCACACATATCCGCGGCATATAACAACTTATCAGTATACCCATAGAACAAATTTAGGGCTGGCAGCGCAGAAATGCCGTCCTTTTTCTCATCCCAAGCTCACATGGCCTTCTCCTCCACCGTCTTCCTCTCCCCCAATTTCCCCCTTCGTTCACCTTCTTCTCAAATAACCAAACCCCGACAGAACTCCTTCCCCATCCGCTGCTCTGAACCCATCGCAGATCGGCCTCCCCTGTCCTCGCCCTTCGACCTCCGATCCTACTGGACCTCCATGATCTCTCACATCGAAGCCGATCTGGACGCCGCCATCCCCATCGCATATCCACACCGAATTTACG